TCATATTAAGATGCTAGCTCAATCAAGCTTGTTTATTAAATGTGCGCAAGTTTGATTTTGATAAAGCTCAGTTTGTAAGCCAGTGAGTATATTTACGTGTTGGTCATGTTGATGTCTTCTCCGGTGAGCTCTGACAATTCCTTTGATAATTGTTTTTTATTAATATTATAGTTACTATAAGGAGGAGAAGAAATTGGATAGATTTTTTTAGTAGGGATGCTATTCAAAAAATGATAGGAACATAGGAGTAGTGCCATCGAAGGAATCTAGGGAAGATGTGAATCATTTAAAGCTTTCTTCTATGACCTTAATTAGGCAACTTGGCGACTTCACTTCGAGTGTTGCTTACATTGATACATTCTTCAATGAGGTCTCATAATGAGTTTTTCTTCTTCCATGACAATTAATCACATCATTATCTTTTTCTATGGGCTGTTGTAGAGTCATATTCTTCTTTAACTTGATTTCATGAGCTGGTTCGTTAACCCAAAGTTATTGCCACATGTTGAGCTTGCAATTGGATAGGTGAGCCGAGCTTAGCCTTGGCTCGAGCTGGACTCAATTCCTATACACCCCTATACTTTGTATAGGTATCAAACCAAAATGCATTTATAAAAAAGAAATAAGAGTAGCTACACATATCTCATGTAAATGAAACAAAAATACATCATCCTTTTTTAAATGAAAATAAATAAAAATTAGATTAGTGGAATCTAGCATTTAATAAGATGGATTAGCAAATGTAGTAGCTTTGAACAGCTAATAATTTTTGGCAAAAGATTATAAGATTTACTTTAAATTCTTCGAAAATGAGCTTCACCAAGAAATCTCATTAGATCTCATGATTAGATCAATAAAATTTTAAAACTTTTTTGATTGGAAAATCATCATCAATTAGCAATCGATGGATAGGAACATAATAAGAATTAAGATTTTATTTGAGATATTTTTCTTATTATTTTTTAAAATACTTTTTTTAATAAAAAAATTTATCTCAAAATATTTTTATACTAAATAACTGCTCTCAAATAAAATGTGGTTAGATTTTTATATTTTAATCTCTTTTTCTCCCTGCTCTCAAATCATTGAACAAATCTAGATCACCTATAATTCTCAGAGCATTTAGGCCACCCACCCGGTTTAAATCTCTGTGCTGAACTGCGGATCCGGCCCGGTTCAACAAAACCTCGTCACGTGCGGCCACCGGGTCAAACACGAGGCTGTCGGCCACGTGTCCGCAGTCACTATCATCGGGAATCGGTCAGTCCCTGCCCTTAAAAACCGGGCACCCGGTCAAAGATCAGACCATGTTCGGTGGATGCTTCGATCAGGTTAACAGGCTATGCTGTTTAGCGAAGCGATGGATCCACCGTTGCTACAAATAATCCTTCGGTGGATCATCTCGTTCGCATACAAAATCTCCTGCGGGCGTTTGTTGGGCATTGTTGGTCCAACCACTGCGCCGTTCACGTCAACGTCAAGGGTCGCGGTATGATTCTCCGTGGTACAGCTTACACAGAGGAATGGGCGGCATTACATCTTGAGCTTTCTGACGTCCGCGCCTTCATCCCTCTCTTTCTCCAGGCCTTTTTATATTAAGTCTGAGCGTTGCAATATATTTAAAAAAATTTATTATAAAATATTATTATATATTACAAATATAAAAGTATTCTCAACAACACCAAAGCCTTTAGGATAACAGGTGGGGTCCATGGGCATTCAAATCATATTAAAGATAATAATTCCACGTGTAATATATTTTGGGATCTATCATGTAATAAGAAGATAAATGTATATCCTTCATAACTTATTATTTTACATTTATAAATTATTGATATTAAATTAGATCATTTATATAATTAATTAATTTTTATAGTACATAAAAAATAAATGAAGAATATAGTTTATGTACTATTATTAATTAAAAATAAATTTTATTTACATCATAAATAGTTTATTTAAAAAATCTATTTTAAAATTGATAGTGTATGCTGTAGACTTAAAAGTTAAGAAGAAAGAAATAGGAGCTTTAGTTTTTTAGTCTCACATCTCTTGGGAGACTTTCTCTTGGTAATGCTTTTACTTTATATTGACTTTTAAACTTGAAAGAAGTAGCACATCATGTAAAGTGATGAAACTTTGTGAAGTGCTTGGTTGGAATTTTTTAATTTAAAATTAGATATTTCAAAATTAAAATTAAATTATAAATTTATTTTATATTTAAAATAATTAATTTAAATATTAAAAAATGCAAAAGTTAAATCGACCGGTTTAAGAGAACTGTGACCATTCAACGGTTTCCGGTTGAATTGGCGGTTTTGTTCGGTTCTTGCCGGTTTGATGCAGAAGCGATTCTTAGCATGAACCGGATCGTCCATAGAACCAGTTCATGATTGAACTGATCAGACCAGGCCGATTTTTAAAACATTAATTGGATATAAAAGAAGGAACATTTTAAAAGAAAAACTATGATAGATAAAGAAACTATAGTGCATGAGTTGTTTCAATACTTGGTGATGCTTCTTTATTGAAGAGCAGCGTGCAAGCCTTCTCATAGGTCTATTTTTAGGAGTAATAAAACCATTTTAGGATTAATCCACACCATTATCACAACCAATACTACTATACCAATCAGCACTATCATAACTACCACTCATACGACCCATCTAGCTAGAACCTAGTCCAACTACCACTCTTCAAATATTACATATAATACACTATTTTTATCCCTATTCATCATTCTCACCATCAGTAATTAATATGTTAAACTTAAACTTTGGAGAGAGTTACTGAGTATAGGTTAAGACGTGATACTAATGCTTCTTAAAATCAATTTAGATTCATGATGGATAAGTCTACTATGGAAGCTACACAACATTTATTGAGATCTTTGATAGAGAATTATAGGCAGAATGCAGATCTACAAATGATATTTATTGATTTAGAGAAAACATATGATAAAGTTCTAAGAGAAGTGTTATTGAGAGTTTTAGAAAAGAGAAGGATTAATAATGCTTGTACTCAAGTCAATAAGGAAATGTATGCAGGAGTTGTTACTTTTGTTCAAGCACAATGAGGTTGGACAAAGTATTTTCCTATTTCAGTTGGATTACATCAAGGATCTGCTTTAAGATTATATATTTTTGTTCTAGTCATGGATGTTCCTACTAGACATTTGCAAGAGGATCTACCTTAATATATGCTTTGTGCTGAGGATTTTTTTTGTTGTTGATAAGACTAGAGAAGGAGTTGAAGGTAAACTTGAATTATAGAGGTCAACCTTAGAGTCTAAAGGTTTTCATTTGAGTAGATCTAAAACAAAATATATAAAGTGTAATTTTAGTTGTAATAGATCTAATGGGAGGATTTTGACTTTAAGCAATCAAGTTATTAATAAGAGTACATGTTTTAAATATCTAAGGTCTATTGTCCAAAGTGATGGTGAAATAGATGAGGATATTATTAGTAGAATCCATAAGTTGGATAGTTGAAGTGAAGGAATATATCATGCATGTTGTGTGATAAAAAAGTACCTTCTGGTGGATGAGTGGCTTTACTCTTGGAGATAGAATGCGAAATATGCATATACGTGAAAAGGTTGGAGTAGTGCTAGCTCTAGTGACATAATAAAATTAGAGGGACTCGCCTTAGATTGTTTGGTCATATAAAATGGCGGCCTTCTAAATAGATCCGATTATGAGAGTAAATGTATTAGATTTGACCTATGTTAAGAGTGGCAGAAGTAAACCTAAAAAGACTTGGTTCGAAAATATTTAAAAAGGCATTTCTTTATTAGATTTAAATGAGAATTTGACTCTTAACATTACAAATTGTAAAAAAAAAAAAGATTCATATAGCTGATCCAACATAGTGGGATAAATGCTTACTGTTGTTATTGTATTTTTTTCGAAAGTTCCCTATATATAATTTCATAGACATGAGGCAAATTTTTATATTATTTAAAAAAAATCAAAATCAATGTATATATAACTTCTTCTGCTATTTCTGCTGAGCTTTATACTCTCTTTTACGGGTTGAAAATTTGTACCAACTTGGGTTTTAATTGTATCTGGATAGAGGTACGTGGATGCGTTGTTGCTTATTCAGATTATTAACAATATCATTCATGTCAACCCTAACCTTTTCTATCTTATTAGGCAAATTAAGCAATCTCTTTGTACTTTCAATTACTATATCTCTCATATTTATCATGAAGCTAATGTTTGTGCTGATTGGTTAGCTAAAAGAGGTTGCAATATTCATAATTATGAGGAGTTAGACACTACTTGTCTGCATCCTCAATTACAAGGTATGATTAATTTAGATAACACTACAGGAAAACCTGTTATTACCGGCGGACTTAATCCGCCGGAAACAATGTACAATCCGACGGAACCGGTAGTTTCCGGCGTATGTTCCGGCGCAAATATCTCCGCCGGTTTATGGTGCGTCGATAATTTGTTTCCGACGTATAAGTTGCGCCGGAAACAGTTCCGGCGCAGTTTCCGACGTTATAACAATCTATGGGCTAATCAGGCGGGGTTGATGTCGAGAAAAGGTGTGATTGTTTGGAATGATAGATAGATATAGATAGAGATGATATAATACAAAAAGATAAGAACCCACTAATAAATACATGACAATATTAAAAAGGTAATACTAATCAATATACTTATAACTAGTGGTTTCCCTCCCCTTGGTTCGATGTTCCTCTGTGGTGATTGTTCCTGCGTATCTAATACATTGCTAACAGGCTCTGTGTCGAATCGTGATTTGGTTTTCGGAGGTGTTACATGCTCGTGTGCCGTAGGGGTTCCCCTGTGGCCGGGTGTTGCCCTGTTGCTTTGGCTGTTGGATCTATCGGAAGCCTTAGAGAGATAAATTTGCTCCTATTGGTGGTTGATATGGTACTCTAACCGGATCATGTTTGACTGTTGGTGTCAAGGTGTTGATTGGTGATGTGTTCTTTTTCCGTTATCTTCCTTATGCAATTTCCCCTTTTATTCCATCGGTCTTGGGTGGACGTCTTTCGTCCGCCGGATGATGATATTGGAATCATATGGAGGTGGGTCTGGGTTGCGGGGTGGGCTCGAGGGACTCCCTGTTTTTGGAGCGCAGTTCTCTGGCGTGGCTGAAAGGAGGTCCTGGAAGATTCAAACGAGATTAATTTGAAGGTGTTGTGTATAGAATGTGTGTGAGCAGGTTTTTATTTGCCGGATGATGATGAATGTTGTTATATTGATTGTTGCAATCTTCTCTCTGTCGTTTTGGGGCGGATCCTACCGTCCAAGTAGGAGAGTATGCCTTTGGTTAACAGGTTAATTAGCATGTCCCAGTGAGAGAATGAACAACGCAGATGAATAATGTTTAGGTGGACCTCTGGGCGTGAGATCAGGGAAACAACTTTTTGGCTGAAGTGTTATTCGATGGTGCCGGAACCGAGTCGTCTGTAGTCATTGTCGTCTGAGGATGACAATGAATTTCACTCTGGTGTGTACGAGACTCTGCATCACTGGTCGCAACTCGGGGGAGTTTTGGGGAGAGGCCGACGTAACGTGTGATATTCCCTGACCTTCTATACTATTAGTTAGCTCGCTATATACATACTTCATGATGACACTCGAGTTATATATATGCATTTGTGAGGAATTTTGACTAGATATTTGGTGGGCTTCGGGCAATGATGTGGAAGGGCCTGCGGCCACGGTTTTTCTCATGGTGGCAACTCTTTGGTGGGACCTTTATCTTTTGTCTCACCTTACTGGACGCATTCCGTGCAAGGATTCAGGGTCGCTGGAGACCTCGGCGTTCTGAGCCCGGTTTTAGCTCTGTTGGACTTCTTCTTGAATATTTGTTAGTGGTATACACTTTATTGCTGGAGGTGTGGCTTGTGGTTCCCAATAAGGATTTTGGTATTTGCCTTTATTAACGCTGTAGACCCCCTTTTTGTGGGTTACTTTTTTAAAATAAAATAATAAAAAAATAAAAATAAAACTTCTTATATTGATTGATGCTAAGAAATTCGTAATGATTAATTAAAATATTACTGTTATGTAACTATATAATTTAAATATACAAAAAAGTAAAAATCAAAATTTTTTAATTTTACTTTTAAATTGTACCAGTTTTTAGATAATTTAATTAAATTAAAATCATTATTTGGTTAACTTAATAAATTATCAAGTATAATATATAGATCACAACCTGAAGAGGAAAGCTTATATAGATACAATATCTTAAATCAAAAGAAAAATTAGTCTCGATAATTAGAACTGTAATTAATAAAATATATACTGAAAATTGTAAATAGAACTAATAGACTTAAATCATTAGAAATAAATAACAATTGCCATTTATTAAATTTATTCAGATTTCTCAATACTATACAAATAATATTTAAATTAATTACCTAAAAGAGTATATTAATTTTCCAAATAATAATACAAAAATATCCCTGCTTGGCAGTCAA